GTCTATGCCTTTGAAGGGAGTTCAAAGGTGAATTAATAATTTCATGTATAGATATTTACACCCATAACACTGCTTGATTTTTTTCCATCAGCGTTCACTTGATTGGCTCCTTTAAATGAAGTGGTTCCCCATTTTGTTTAAGTGTGCGTCTCTTACGGCATCACACAGGTTTATTACAGCGGGAGAAACTCTATTAGTCCTCATGAAGATAAACAGATCCAGAGATGCTCCCCTGAGTTTAGACGCTTCAGAGGATTTTTCTCTCATCTCTCCAGGTGGGGTCGCTGGAAAGACATTCTGAACCACGGTCGCTTCAAGTGGCACCTGGCAGAGAGAGACATGGAGGTGATCTGCAGGTGAGAGAAGCTGCAGTTGGAATAAGTGAAAACAAGGAAACGAGGCCTGCAGATAAACCTGAACGTGTCTGCTTTGATCCATCAGGGCTCTGTTGGTTTACTGCCTGAAACACTACAAAGGTGACGACAAGATCAAGAGCTTCATCTGGGATCTGATCGCGCCTTCTAAGGACGGACAGGACCAGGCGCTGCTCAACCACTCCGGTTAGATTTTCTCCGCTCTCCACTTCCTGGCAGCCTATCGGCTCGGGTCACACTTACTGTTTGCTTTTGCAGGTTTATCGGCTCCGGTTCCTCGGGGAAGGAAGGGGAAAAAGCTGAAGAACCAGCTGAATGTTCCTGATGTTAAAAACGCCGACTGGCTGGTGCACTGCAACCCTGAGGTGGTGCTGCAGGACGAGAGCTACAAGAAACACCTCAAACAGCACTGCAACAAGTCAGTGCACTGCAAAAAATACACAAATCTAAATAAGTCCTTTTTCTTAAAATAAGTGCATTTTTTCTTGAATTGAGGAGGTAATTGAGACACTTGCCAATGGAAAATAATAATTTACATTTAAAATAAAAAAAAACCTGCATTGTCTTATTTCAAGTGCATATTATCTAATTATCTTATGTTAGGGTTAAAAATACTCATTCCATTGGCAAATCATATTGTTTACCTACTCAAATTAAGGATAAATACACTAAATTTAAGTTTTTCTTTTTTACTTATTTCAAAATCGTTTTTGTGTGTAGATGCTGCTGCACTAGAAAAATATAAATGAAAATAGTTCCTTTTTTCTTAAAATAAGTGCCTTATTTCTTGAATTGAGGAGGTAAGCGATACACTTTGCCAATGGAACAAGAACATTTATATGTAAAATAAGAAAACACAATTGCATTGTCTGTTTTCAAGTGCATATTATCTAATTATCTTATTTTTAGAGTAAAAATACTCTTTCCATTGGCAGATCATCTTATTCACCTGCTCAAATTAAGGGGAAAAACATTTAATTTAAGAAAGGTTTGACTTATTTCTACATCATGTTTGCAGTGTGGGGAGGGCTCTGCTCTCTTAGAGGCTCTAATGAAACACCTAAAGGGAAGATCCAGATCATTAATGTCTGCTGTACACTGCAACAACTAAGTCCTTTATTCTTAAAATAATTGCATTTATTTCTTGAATTTAGTTTAGTGAGATTCTTTACCAAATAAACAAGATAATTTACATTTAAAATAAGAAAAAGCAATTGCATTGTTTTATTTTAAATGCATATAATAGAAATACTCATTCCAGTGGGAAATCATCTTATTTGCCTGCCCAAATTAAGGGTAAAAAAAACAAAAAAAAAACACTTAAAACCTGCGTACACTGTGTGAAATATAAACAGAAAGAAAGAGATTTCAATCTAAAATCTAAAACGGCAATAAAAAAAGAAAGGGGAAAAAAAGAAAAAGTGTAATTAAATACTGAATTGAATTATGAGTTTTTTCAAGCCGAGGGAAAGAATTTAGATTTAATTCTTATTATTCTGTGTTTGCTTTTTTAGTTTCTCAGATTATAAGATAAAAATTTGACATTCAATTTCAACTTATATTTTTTTCTCTTTCAACTTTTATTCTTTCAGTTTCAACTAAGATTTATAGACCCACATAACATTTTGACCCCTTTCTGACTCCATAACCTTCCCTGATGTCTGTCACATCAAAAGCTGAAACACAATATTTTATGACAATATTCTGTTCCAGATCAATTCTTGTCTTTAAAACTCAAAATCTCGAAGAGTTCCTCTGGTTTGACGTTGGTTTTAGAACTCCGATTAATCTCAGACATCATGAATGCATCGATGTTGGGATTCCTGGAATCTTCCTCTCTGTTGCCAGGGTTCTGCTGAGGGTCCGGATGCTGTACTACCTGAAGGTGGAGGTTCTGGGTGAGGCCGCTAATCAGGCTCAGGAGGGGGTACCAGCCAGGTACGCTGCAGACAAACCGCTCTTCACCCACTTTTCATCAGTCTAAACTTGACGGCTGACTGTTTGTGCGTCGGCAGTAAACTGGACGTGTCGCTACCCGACATCGACTACATCGAGATTCCCGTGATGTGGTGGGATGCCGAGGCCGACAAATCGCTCCTCATAGGGGTCCACAAACACGGTGAGCCTTCCTTTAAACTCTTTTAGTGATTTCAAAGGAACGTCTTACTGACGGCGGCCTCCCCTGACAGGATATGAGCGATACAACGCCATGCGGGCCGATCCAGACCTGTGCTTCCTGGAAAGGGTTGGGATGCCGGACGTCACGGCTCTGTCTGCTGAACAGGGAGGATCGGAGGCGGTAGCTGAACTGATCGACAGGTAAAACAGGGATTACAAAGATGGGTTTCTAAAATTAGAGACGGAAACAGGAGATCGGTTTGATAAAGCAGTGGAAAATAGTCAGAGGGGCTTATTGTGTTGATCAGCTGCTCTGGAAAGGAGATCCCTTCTTCACGGATTAAACTTTAAATCATAAA